ATCATGGAAGAATCACATCGGACACTTATGCAAAAAAATTGCAAAAGGCATTGGAGTTTTATATAAAACAAGAAGCATTTTAAACAAACATTCATTAACAAAATTATATTACTCTTTTATACACTGTCATATTAATTATGCTAATATTGCATGGGGTACCCATGTGTACCATGGGGTAAATTAAAGCCACTTTATTGTCAGCAAAAGCATATTGCACGTCTTGTAACTTTTAAAAATCGTTTTACTCACTTAAGGCCACTCTTATTTAACATGATTGTTTTTAATATATATCAAGTAAATGTTTATAATGTTCTTTGTTTTATGTTTAAATGTAAAACCAACTCATCTCCAGCTTCCGTTTTTGATTTATATTCTTTAAAAGAAAAAAATTATTATTCGTTAAGAAATTTTAATTTTATTAAACAACCAAAATTTCAAACAAACTTAGGTAAATTTTCTATTTGTTTTCGTGCAACTTTTTTATGAAACCAAATAATTTTAAAAAACTTTGATTTTTCTCATGAATGGAATTATTATATGTTCAAAAGAAAACTAAAAAAATTAATTTTCTCAATTGAAAATATATTTATATACTTTTAATTATACCCAGTTTTGTCATCACTCATTTAAATTTTTACTTTTATACAATATTGATTTAAATTTTATGTGAGAAACTATATTTAAACACCATTATTTGAATTTTGTTAAAAGTTGCACTGACATTATTTGTACAGTAGTCATTTATTATTTAATTGTTTACTTTAATTTTTATTTTTATTGTAATATTTGTAAATAATTTGTCTTCGAATGGTATATACTTTTAATCTTGAATTTAATTTTGTAATTATATATATATATATATATATATATATATATATATATATATATATATATATATATATATATATATATATATATATATATATATATATATGTATATATATATATATATATATATATATATATATATATATATATATATATATATATATATATATATATATATATATATATATATATATATATATATATATATATATATATATTAAAGTGCATCCAGTGCCCCAACATTTTGAAAATTTTATCCAAAGTGTTTGTCCCCAATTTAATTTTGTTCCTCTTACCAAAACAACATTTTTGATGCAGTTTCAGAAAATTTGAACGTTATCTAGGCGGTCCACCAAGCAAACAAAGTTTTGGATATAATCGGAAAATTAGCTATATTTAAAATTAATTAACATGTTCTAAAACTACGTTAATTAAGCTTTTTAATTAAAAAATTTAATTAAACAAAGCTCATTTATTGAGCTAAAACACTTATTATGATAAGCAGCTACACAGCAAACAGTGAGGCTTACAAATTAAGAATATTTGTATAAACTTGAGTTTGAACAAAAGGCGGTCAAACGCCAATGAAAACAGTGTCAGTCAGTCATTCGATTCATTTTTTGCGTTTTCTAATGTCTGGTAGCATTCTCCGGTCTTTCTCAACAACCTGCAAGACATTTTGATAATGTTCTTCACACTTGGCTGTTGATATGAAGTCTGAGCTGAGTTTCACCCCTCTCTCCGCACTGTCGTTCACCACATTCAATGCTTGAATGTTAATCATCGAAACCTGATATGAAGCGCAACTAGGCCAGTTCACAACTTTCTCAGTCAGAAACTCGGAGTAAAGCTGCAGGATGCGAAACAAGAACCACGAATCAATTCCCACCAGATCAGCAAGCGTTGTTGATAATGTAATTGATTCAGGAAAATCTGGTTTCCCAAATCCTGTACCATAACAGTGCTTTAGTTGAAACATAACAATATCTGGTTTGATTGCCAGAAGACGGTCAGCAAGAGCTCTCTGCTCGGTAGGTGGAACTTGATTGCTCCAAAGTGCAAGAGGCACCATTTCTTCGGTTAAATACCATAGATGTCGTTTAAACGCTCTCAACGCACTCTCTGATATCTTAGGGTGTACATCTGCATACATCAACAATGATCGGAATAGCATGAGATCATTCCATGGCGCATCTGTAGCTGAACTGCACGTCATCCACCAGACACTATATATCAGGGTAGAGAAGTTGACAAAATCTCTCACTCTGGCATTTTGTGCTTTTGTAGTTATTGTGCCGATTAAAAGATCACGAATCTGTTTTTCAAATAGACAGATTTTAATTGAATATATGAGCTTCGCCATCCATCGGGCTTTGTATAGTGCTCCAGGGCGCTTAAAGGTCAGTGTGTGACCTTCTCGTTCACAATCAAGAAAAATAGTGCACAACTCAACAAATTCCAGATAGTCGTCTCTACGATAATCTAATAATCTAGTTCCGAATGAGCAAGTTTCATAACATTTTTTCTACAACGGTCAGTGAACGTTTTAGCTTTTTCAGAAAAGGAGGTGGATTCAAACATTGACAGTCGATCAGCCGGACGCGATTGAAGTAGCTCAAAGTGTTTACGAAATCTTGTGAACAGAGCAAGGTTCTTTCCCACTTTCCGCCTGGATTTATCAGCATAAGAATATGATGCAGAAACCTTAGTTTAATTGCCTCCTGCTTCCTCAATGAGAGCCTCAGTGTAAATTGCCTGTTGCGCTGGTGCCAATTTTAAGCGGGTTGCTAGTGCAACAAGCCTTAGTCGTTGCACAATGTCATGTGGTATGAAGGCAGGAGTTCCAGTGCGGGTATTACGACGATGGCTTCTACTTGTAGGTGTTTTAAGTTGAACACCAACAATAGAGGAATCACTGTCCTTGCCCAATTTACAATGATCTTCAATACTATCATCTTCATCAGTTTCTTCGCTGCTCTCAATGTCACTGACACTGTATGCTTCTGCTGTGAGATGACTAGACATTTTTTCACGCCTTTTTGCCACACTTTGTTCCCGTTTGTGCCGACGCCGAAGTTTATCCGCCAACACTTTATCGCATCGACCGAAGGTAGCCAAACGATCAGTCTTCATCGACTGCAGGAACTTCATGTCTTTTGAATTTTTTACAAGCAGTTTTACATTTGCCGGCCACAGAGGAAATGTCTTTGCTTGCATACATTCCGTCTCCTGTACCTTCTTTATAGAACCGGGCATGGATCTACGTTTTAAAGGCATTGCTCGGATCTTGGCATTGTCATCAAGAAGTTTAATGATCTTTTCGCATGCTTTACGTACGCTAATTATTGGAATATTAGCCTTATCATAAAACAGCTTTAGCTTTGCCAAAACAAGTCTTGCTGACTCCCATCTAGTTCAATTTGTACTAGCTCCGTCATCAAGGTGGTACTTTAGACAGCGCAACACTTGACAAGAAGTTGGAAGCCGACACCCAGTTAATTTTGCGTCATCTTCAGTTATCTTGCTCCCAAGCCCAAATATGACGGCTGATTTTCGCGTAGCTATCTTCTTGATGTCTTGATTGCCAGCTGAACTAGGGGTAGGAGGTGTTTGAAGTACTGCTGTTGGGTCAATATCCGCTGCTTCACTCATACTGGTACAGATTAAAGTGCTGCTGGTGGTATTCATAATATCCAATTATCCTTTAAACTTCTTACTCTTAGTAAATTAAATTGTTAAATGTTAATCTAAAACAGAAAACTATAATTTAATTTGATTATCTGACAATTATAATACCTATAAATAAATAATCACAGATGAAATCAAACATAAACAACATTTATGTAATATATGTACATAACTACTAAGTACTAACTAGTAACTGCATAATACAAAATCTCTTTTAATTTTTCAGTTTTACACAATATAAAATATATAATTTATTTCAGAAATATTTACTATTTAGACTAGCACATGAAATTTGAAACAAAGATGGCAACAAAGAACTAGTACAAGATCTGTTGAAATATTATGTACGGTGGCCAAGAAGTGATAATTATAAATTAAATATATTGAAAAACATAATTATTCATATTTATTTTATTTTTTTCAATTATATTTATTAAAACAAAATGATTAGATTAAAATTTACCTATAGTCCTATATATATATTATATATTTTTAATTATTATTATCAAAAAAAACCATATTTATTTAAAATACTAAAGAATTTTGCATTCGTTATGGTTCCTTTGCGTATGTCGAATTTTTCGTTCAATGACAAAATTTCAGATTTGTGGTGGACCTCCTAAATCAATTCAGATTTGTAAAAAAATTGGCAGAAGTTCATATATATATATATATATATATATATATATATATATATATATATATATATATATATATATATATATATATATATATATATATATATATATATATATATATATATATATATATATATATATATATATATATAATATAACTGAGTGAAAAATATGGATTAGATTATTACCTTTTTCTTTAAAAAAAATAAATTGTTTTATTTTTAATATTATTTGATATTTTACTTGCAGTTTAATGTTAGAAAAAATTTGAAACTAAAAACATTATTTTTGAGGCGTAACCAAGGAAAAGAAATTTACTTATTAAATAAAAACCGTTCTAATTAAACAACAGGGTGGTTTCTATATACAGCTAAACTTTTACCTTAAATAATGGAACAGTTAAATTCTGGTAACTTTTTGGATTTAAACAGTTTATTTTGTTCTTCAAAACGTCTTTTATGAAATTTAGTTGCAAAATTTGTAAAACGAATGTCTTTTTTTTTGAAAGTTTTTTCTTAAAAAGAAATCGCAACAGGAGCCGGCCTATTCGTCGTCCCGTGTCAAACAACGGCTGTATCATGAAAACTCAAATCAAAGATGGTTGTATTTGTTGTAGGTTTTCGACGTTGCTCACGTTTCTCAACAAAATAATAAATTGTTTAATCGTTTTTATTAACATTCAAGTTAAAAATAATTTTAAATTTCATGCTTTGATATTTATTTTTGCATGTACAAGTTAAACGTTCAAAAATAAAACATAAATCTAAAAACAGCATTAAGTTAATTGTATGGTTTTTGTAATATTATAGTTAAAACTATAATTTATTTATTTAAATAAATAAATTACAGTTCAAATTTATTTTTAGTTGTTTAAAACAGTAATGGCTTTAAACCAGAGATCTTTGATCAATACAGCAAGACTTTTTGGGTCTGCTTTGCGACGATCAATTTCAACAAAACCAACTGGTAAATCTTATGTAGCTCCAATCATTGCTGGTTCACTAATTGCTGGTACTGGTCTTGTAACTTATACATTATCGAAAAATAACTTCAAGTTTTTCCCAGCTGTCCATGCATCTGCTGTAAGCTCTTTAAAATTATGATATATAATTCAATATTAAAATATGACTGTTTTTCTAAAATGGGTAAGGGTAACAACATCAGTTTTTGCTGTCTAATAACATCTGTCCAACAACCTGTAAATATAATGATGTATAATTACATCTGTCCAATAACATCTGTAAATACACTGAGGTATAATAACATCTGTCTGACAACATCTGAAATTTTATTGAGATCTAATCTGTGCAAAAAGGGTGCTACTGCAGTTTCTCCCCCCCCCCCCCCTTTTTTTTTTTTTTTATTGCTGATTATGATAGAGAATTTTATACTGATTAAGATTGGTATAAAAACATAAGTCTGAAAATCAACAGAGAGTGCTCTAATTTGATTAGTTAATTACATCAAAGTGTACATTTTGAAATTGATCATTAAGAAAATCTTTTTTTAATTGCGCACCCCGGTTTTTATTGTCATCAAAGTTATTTTATAATTGAATTAAATGATTTCATAAATGTATTTTATATAACTTTAATTATTATTTTTTTTAAATAAATTCAAATATTGCTTTTTAAATGTACATATATCGACTAAAAAATAGGGATTGGCGCAATTAAATGTACACTCATCGACTGAAAAACAGGGATTGGCACAACTAAATGCACATACATCGACTGATAAATAGGGATTGGCGCGATTAAACATACATGATTTGGGACAGGGTTAGGGGCTGGGCAAGGGATAAATCAGAAAATGATGGGCTTAGCATTTTTTAACAGTTTCGCATTAAATTGTTGATAGAAATCAGGCTTTTAAAAATCATCTTTGACTAGGGTTTTAATTATAACCGAGAATGAAAAAAATGGCGAATATTAGCATTTTTTGAGTGTAATTTTTTAAACTTCAACATCAAATTAGAACACTTTCTTTTGATTTTCAGACCTACATTTTTATACGATTCTTAATCAGCATGAAATTCTCTATCGTAATCAGCAATAAAAAAGAGGAGGGGGGGAAGAAACTGCAGTAGCGCCACAAAAAGTAAATGATTACTACAGATGTAGTTACATCTTTTCAATTATCTAAGTATAACAACATCTGCGTGACTTCATCTGGAGATTTTATTAAACTTTAATTTGGCAAACTTGATTTGGAAAATGGGATTTTTTCACAAAAATTAATAACTCTAAAAATTATTCAAAATTAGTTATTATTAAAAACTAATAGAAAAAAAAGATAAGAAATTCTTATTGATTATTGTTTAAAACTTGAAATAAAATCGTTGTTATTAGTATAACTACACGATTGCATAACTGCCAAAATGTCTATTGGAAGAAACTTCTTGAGATTTGGGATTTTCAAAAAAATTTAAAGATTTTCTCAGCATCCTGCTTTTAAATTTCATTTTTCAAAATTTGCAAATAATTCTTTGTAATGCGTTCCAACAACATCAAATATTATATAAAAGAGTTAGCAAGAAGTAAAGTACAATCTAAAAAAATACCAAATTTGTTTGGTTTAACACCCGAAAAAGCTATTTCTTTACAAGTTTTGCTCTTTTTGGATGAAAAGATAAATAACTTATTGAGTCTTACTGCAAAGTCTACATTAAATAATACATTTGTTTTGTCAACAAAAATATCAAGAAGCCATTTACAACAGATACTTTCAAAATTTTGATCAATTACGGATATTACTGTAAGTCTTTTAGCTCTTGTTTTACTTTTTTTGTTTGGTATTTTATATCAACTGAATTATGTGATTGCATCAACTAAAATCTTTTTTTAATCATCTACTATCATTTCTCTACTAACTTTTTTAAAAGACCACTTCTGAATTAAATACAAAATGCAAAAATTGATTTATGATTATAACAAACTGGCACTAGAAATTTATTTAACAAGGAAAATTACTTTACTGTTGGCTTTTATTTAAAACGCAAATTAAATACATATATTAAAACATAAATTAAATTTGTTTAATAACAAGAATGTTTTTTTTATTACAACAAAGTGGTACTAGAAATTTAAAAAATAAGAAAACTAGATTCACTGCTAGCTTGAATTTAAAACTGAAAGAATGTTTGAATGAACCATAGACAAAATAACATTTTATAACTGTAAATGTGGTAGTGGTGTTGTGGTAGAGTGCTCGCTTCATAAACAAGTGGTTCCGAGTTCGATCCCCACCACGTCCCTGGTAGTACTGCGCTCAACTCGTTTCTCTGCGCAGCGACCTTGTTCGTCAAGGTTCGTGTTTTGGAGTTATAGAGTTGAGAGAGGGTTATAGCCAAAAAATAAGTAGCCTCCTCGTCTGTAGTGGCCTTCTCGGCCTTGAGGAGGAGAAGTAAAATAAAAATAAAATAAAAAAATAATTGTTGGTATTTTTTATTGCCACAATAGCATGCAATCTCTTGCGATCAATATTATTTTGTAATTAAACCACTCTTGTAATTATAACTTTATTTCGCTATGAGATTTATGCAAAGAGAAAATTAATATTAATTATAAAATTGAACTTGTAATAAATATGACATTTTAAATTTATGAGCTCATATTTACTATTTTCATATTCTTTTTTATTTATCTATTTTCAAAATATTTATTTTGATAACAATTTATTACATGATGGTGTAAAACTCGACGTCCTTTATATCCTCTATAAAGGACGTCGAGCAGAATTTAAATAATAATTAGACTTAGAAGATCATTGGCTTTCTTCCGCAGAGACTTTCATTAAACATAAACTGCTATATTACTTTAAAAATAACCTTTTAATGCCCATCAGTAAAAATGTGGGCATTAAAAAAATGCAAGTTTTAATGCCCTTTTTAAAAAGTGGGCAAAAGAAAATTCTTAAAATGAAAGAAACAGCGATATATTAGGATTACAAATAAATCAAATATTAATTCTAATAGCTAATTTATATACGCTAAATATTTTATAATTTAAAAATATATAACTCCTAATATATCTTTGTAAATCGGAGCTTAATTTGCCGTATTATTGTGGAACCACTTTTAATTTTGTGTTGATTTCACACTTCGGTGAATGTTGCAGATTGTATTTTATTTTATTTTTGCTGTCCAATTAATGAATGCAGCGCTGAAGTGAGGTAGAAAAAGAAAGAATATAAAAAAGGACCCCACGCATTCCCGGAACACATTTAAATCTCAAAGAGGAGGGCGGATAATTTTGACAAAATTCCCAATTTCTTCAAAATTCTGTATCAAATTTATTCCTAGTAAACCCTTTGCATTTATGAAATAAGATACCAACAAATATCGATTCTGTAGTGAAACAAAGATTTACCTCCAATATCATCAAAAATCTTTTTAGATACCTTGGAATAATATTCCTCACAGTAATGCTGAATCGGAAAGGTTGTTTAGTATTGTAAAAAAAAAGGAAAACGCTCAAGCAGCTGTTGAAAACCTCAAAGAAAGCAACATAAATTGCAATTATAAACATAATGAATAAAAATAAGTTTTATTCATTATGTTTATAACAATGAATAAAAATAAGTTTTTTATTTATCATATATAACTTATCATAATATTTTAATTTTTCTTGTTTGATAAAAAGTACTTTTTGTAATTTTTTTTGTGTATCCAGGTTTTTGCGTAAATCTCAAGTTTTATCCTGGTTTTAAAAAAAAAAATTCATATATAGTTTTTTTTAGATGTTATTACATCTGTAAAAAAATTAATATAACTGCATTATTTTTACCAGATGTAGTTACATTGAAGATTTTTTTTTAGATGTAATTACATCTAGAGGAAAATCTTCCAGATGTTTTCGGACTTGCAGAAAAATTACTAGATGTATTTACATCTTCTTTGAGATGTTGTTAGGGATCATTAAATTTCCAGATGGTATTGTAGGTACATGTGTATCAAATAAGTTATAACACCAATTATATAATCAAAATCTTCTACTATTTTATCATAGCGTGCTTAGAGTTTGAGTTGTAAGGATGTATTGTGTTATTTTTCAGAATTTTGTATCAGCATAGACATTCTTTTAAAGGCAGAAGAGTTAAACTTCATTTTAATGAAGTTTAACTCTTCATGTTAATATCTTATTCAAAATAATTGAATATTGTATTAACAAAAAACTTTTTAATTTTTAACGCCATTTTGTTTCTGGCAAAGGAAAGTTTCGGCTCTTTGACTATTTTTATTTTTTAAATCAGATCTGATTAATGCGCTTATATTTAACATCAATACAAAAAGTTTCTTTGAAAAAAATTAAATTCCAGGGTTTGTTTCCCCTGCAGCGGTTAAACGAAATTGTAATAGGGGCTGTCCATTAATTATGCCAACAAATTTTTTGAAATTTTAACCTCCCTCCCTCCCCCTTGTCAACAGTTTGTCAAATTACCAGAGACCCCTCCTATAAAATTACGTCAATTTTTGATAACCCCCCCTACCCCCATTCCTTATACAAAGAAGCTATGCTACAAATTTTCTGTTATTTAAGCAGTAAAACTCATTAAAAAAAAATTGTTGACATCAACTTTGATTGACCTCCCCCATGTTAACAACAGTCAAAAATGTTCAGACTCCCCCTCCCCCTATTTTGTTGACATAATTAATGGACAACCCCATATTCAAGTTTTTAGTATAAATTCTATATACATCTTAAAAATATATTAGATCATTTTAAAAACAATTTCTTGAATTAGAAATATAAATTATTATAAGCATAAGTTAAAAATATATATAAGATCATTTTTAAAACAGTTTCTTCAATTTATAACAATAAATAAAGATTTTTCAACTTTCAAAATTAAAATTTTTGGATTATATTGTACTTAGTGGTGTATATAAAAAAATAATTACTTATTTTCTTAAAAAAATATTCATCTTGTGTATTTTGAAGTTTGCTTCACCTAAATTACTATTTTTATTATATTAGTATATTTAACTCAAACACTTAACGATACGTTAAACAAAAAACAAAAACATGCTGCAGCGAACGTTATTATAAGCACCGCAGACTAAATATTAAGGGGAAAACCCAATCTAATTGTTTAAAACTGAACTGAGTTCAAAAAACTCTGCGGTAAGTGAAAAGATTTATTACTGAAACCAGATTTTTTTTTAACGGAAAAATCTATGCAGATTTGTAAGGTTAATATTAAACTTATAATCGGAAGTATAATGGCAAAACAACAATTGCTTTTATTAATTTCTCATTCAATAATTTGTTTTAGAAAGTTTAATTAGTTTTAAACTTTTGTTCTAATGTTTATTATGATATGAACTCAACTTGTCTCGGCACTTAGGGATCCCTTAAAAAACTTATTTTAAATGCCAAATTTGATTGAAAAAAATTATGTAGCAGACACCAAATTTTTTGTAGCAGATTATGTACCTAAATTAAAACAATCTAAATAAAGCATAATATTGCGCTTATAAAGAGCAAAGTTTTATAACATAACTACCAGTTATGTTATGAATCTGATATTTTAAAATTGGTCACAGTTTAATTTAGCAATTTACTTAAATGAATTTAACAGTAACTGTTAAATAAATTTAGCAGTTACTTAAATGAGCATAACTTGTGTAGAATTGTTATTTTGTATTGAAATATTTACTATTGTAATGTTGATTTTAGCCTCTTTCCAATGATATGTAATAATAATAAAAGTAGTTTAAAGTTTTTACACACGTACCTAGGTATTGGACAGATGTTGTTGAAATAAAAAAAAAACAGGATGTTTTTGGACTACTCTACAGATGTTGTTGGACAAATCTTTTACTTCAAAGATCATTTTTAAAATCTTTTTCATCATCCTACTAATTAAATGATTTCTCTATTAATTATTCAAATTTTAGTAATTTTTGATTTAAAGCCTTTTAAAGCTGGGAAATGTTTAAAGATTGGGCAATTACATTGATTCTACGATAGAAATTTAATTTAAAACTAATATTAAAGTATATGTTTGGTAGTCACAATGTAGTTTATTTTTATGTTTTAATTTAACTTTATGCAAGGTAAATAAATGGTAGAAGTTCTACCATTCATATACTTAGTATAAAGTTAAATTACATTGTGATAACCAAATTACGTTGTAATAACCAAAATATATATATTTTTATGTCTATTAATTTTTACAAAAATAAATCAATAAAAAATGAAGGAAATAACATAATCATACTTAATTTTTAGACACCAAAAATAATATTGAAAATGCTTCAAATAAAAAAAATTAAGTAAACATTTAAAAGAAGAGTAAAGGAAAAAAAAAATTAACATAGAAAAAATAAAAGTATATATTTATTTGAGTCTAATTTTCTAGCTTGCAAAAGCTAGGCTGAAATAAGCACAATAAAAATATAATTTTTTTTTTAGGGAACCTTTTTAAAACCACAAAAGAATGTACATAAAAAATAAGTCATTTTGAGTAGATTTTTTTTTAACCCATAAAATTACAACAATCGAATTAGTTTTTTTTTCAAAGACAACCAAGAGTTTAACTAAAAAGTTACCACATGAACAACATAAAATATTAGGTGATTTATTTGGAGATGTTGAGAAATTCACTCATTTATCCCCATTGGTTAGATAAAGCTTAAATTTTATTAGTTATAATTTATTGGTAAAGGTTTCAACAATGAATAACAGAAGTACATTTTTATTATTATTTTATTTTTTTTCTAAAGCTCATAGAAAAAAGAAAAGTTGAGCAAACATTTATAATGATAAAACCTGATGGTGTCGCACGTGGTTTAATTGCTGAAATAATCAAGAGGTTTGAGCAAAGAGGTTACAAGCTCGTTGGCTTAAAAATGCTTGTGGTATGTTTTTAGTTTTTCAGGATATAATTAATAAAAATTTTATTACTATTTTGTAAGAAGTAAGTTTTTTTTGACAGAAATCAGATTAAAAAGGTAAGTCTGAAGACGGGTTTATATATGTGAGTATATACTATTGAACCTTTTTGCTTCACTTCATTGTAGACTAAGAATAAAGTATTAAAATTTAAAGGTAAGAAACACTTCAGTGAGTTGACTAAACAAAATACACAGTGATCATATGTTTGCTGAAGTTATAATCCTATTTCATGTTCTAATCCTTCAATTAGTTTTAATTTTTTTGAATTAATTTGTAAATCATTAAGTTGTGCAATTCCTCTCTATACCATCATCAACGTGCATTGTTGTTAAAAATATGACTGCTTTTCTCTTTTTTTTTTATTACATTAGAATAAAAGGTTTTTGGTTGCATGAAACCATATAACAGTGATCCAATGGGTCTTTTTATTTCTTTGAAATTTCAGCAGCATCACTACTTAATAATTTCTCTACTAATATAATTTGAATTAATTTGTAAATTATTAAGTTGTGCAATTCCTCTCTATACCATCATCAATGAGCATTGTTGTTAAAAATATGACTGCTTTTCTCTTTTTTTATTACATTAGAATCAAGGGTTTTTGGTTGCATGAAACCATATAAAAGTGATCCAATGGGTCTTTTTATTTCTTTAAAATTTCAGCAGCATCACTACTTAATAATTTCTCTACTAATATAATTTCAGCAGCATCACTACTTAATAATTTCAGCAGCATCACTACTAATATAATTTTAGCAGCATCACTACTAATATAATTTCAGCAGCATCACTACTTAATAATTTTCTCTACTAATATAATTTCAGCAGCATCACTACTTAATAGTTTTCTCTACTAATATAATTTCAGCAGCATCACTACTTAATAATTTTCTCTACTAAATTTGCTTAATCTTAAGTTTGCAAAAATTTTTTTTCGTAGCCAAGTGAAAGTTTACTTTCTGTACATTATGGTGACTTAAAAGACAAGCCATTTTATCCTGGTCTTGTAAAGCATATATCTTCAGGACCAGTTGTTGCTATGGTATGAAGTTATTGTTTTTGATATTTGTTATTAATATTTGTTATTAATATTTGAATTTTTTTGCTTTGTTTGAAGAATCATATAATAATAATCGAATTTTGTAAAAGTTTTTTTTTTTGTGTGTTAATTTTTTATTGTTGTTTTTAATAAATTGTTTAGTTTCATGATAAATTTTTTCTAAGTTGAATCTTTAAAAAATTTTATTAGAATAAAATATACTTAGTTACTTAGAGAAACAATCTCTTTATAAAACCTTTAAAGGGATTGCTTGATATTCAATAGTAAACAAATTTTACTTATACATTAGATCAGATTTAGTTAGCAACCGAGGTTGATATTTGACCAGGGCCGGGTTTGATAAAATATAGCCGGGGCTAGTTTTGTGACCAGGGCTGCATAAACATTTATACATCCTAAAGTACAAATTTTTTTTATAAATTCATTTTATATTTTGTATATATATCAGGCTTTTTTTTTAAATAAAAAAGTGCTTAATGCATAAGCTTAACACCATTTTGACGTCATAAAATTATCTTTATTTTTTTTATAGACGTTAAGTGTTTTAACTACCGCAATGAATAGATAACCGCAAACTAGTTCAATTTAACAATTAACTCAAATAACTATAAACGTTTTAAATGTAAATTTATTATGAAAATTTTGTAATGTTTTCAATTGTTATTTTATTATTAATTTTAGTTCAATATTATTTAGTAAAAAAAAAATATACATTTTAATTATTTCTGTAATTTGTTTTTGAATAATTATTGTTTTTAATCGTTATTGAATAAAAAATAATAATGATTTTTTTTATTTTTAAAAATTTTAAAAAGTAAACAAAAGAGTAAACAAAAAATATTAACATTGATAAACACAAACCCATGTTAATTGTTTAAACAACGATTTTGTTTTTACTAGCAAAGAAAAATTTAGGTTTTGAAATATTTTTTTAAATTTATCTTGCTTAGCATTTTAACTTGCGTTTTATAAAAATATAAAAAAGTTTTGTCTGCTTTGAGCATATTTTTGATACATAACGTAAAAAATTTAATTCATAAATTTTTTACATAATTGTAAAAATATTTTACTTTTTAAACAAATCACAAAGAAACAGAGCTATAGAGAAAAATCGTTTTTAACAATTAAATCTTTTTTTTTTTAAATTTTAGGAAATTAAAAAAAAAATTTAATTAAATATAAAAGTCTTAATTATGCAAACTCTTTTGTTAATTATTCTTAAAACAAAAAAACAAATACTTCTACACAAAACTTTAATCGTGCAACCTTAAAAAAATACTCAACTAAAATAATTTAAGTATATATAATAATTAAATAAATGTTCCTAAAAATTTGATTATTAAAAATTAAGTTCCTTAACTTATAAACAAACTCAAAAGTATTTTCATTCTACGTATAATTACAAAACTCTTTTTTTTTTTTCGTTTGTAAGCAATTTAACTTAATAAAATAAAAAAAGAATAAATATGAGTTAATCCTTGTTAAGAACAAATTTAATTTATTTATTGAACTATATTTTTATTTTTAATTATATATCAACTTAATTAAAATATAGTAACATGTTAAAATATTCTAACATGACTTGTGTTATTTATAAACCGTTTGGCAGCTGCCCTTACGGCACCATTGTTTTTGGATAATATTTTATTTTGATGAAGATCACATAACTTACATTTGATTTTAATAACGTAAGTCCTCTTTTTTTGTGATCATCGCATCGGCAAAGTATAGGCAAAGTCCCAAGATTTAAAAGTTTTTAAAGTAAATCTTTTGTCCTTCAAAATACAATCTACAAGGGTTGAATTAACGCATCGCGATTTGCGATATCTGCTAAATTATCTGGTCTTCAAAGTTTCAGTTTATGGAAAACCACGAAATTTACGGAATAGGCGAATAAACTTTAATTTGTTAGTGAAAATGTTATAAAAAACAAAACAATAAATTTATGACTACAAAAGTAATAACACTACAGTGTTGTTACTTTTATAACACTCTTTTAAGTTACATTTATAGTTTATTGTTTGATCAAACAACACATAATCAAGATATTATAAATAAAAATGATTTAGTTAAGTAATTCCAAACTTTAATTAAAGTAGTAATGCATCTAAAAAAAAGTACAATGGATATTTAAACAATGTTAAAAACCTCAGCAACTTTTACGAATACATATTTTTATAAACAGTTTAGCATTTCTAAACATCTTACAAACAGTCCGGAAAAATCGCGCGTTCACTTTAAAATCAACCAATGAAAACACTGGTAATTTACTTCTTAGGAGAAATCTATGTTAAAAGGGAAGGAGGGGGGGGGGGAAAGGCTAAAAACTTAAAGTTTGTTTTATTATTTAATCAATTAAATCGTAATAAAAGTAAAGACAAAAAAATATATTTCTAAATATACTTCTTTATAACTAAAATTTATTAAATTGAACACCTCTGTTTTTAGTTTTAAGTAAATGTCAGTACTACTCTCAGTGGCAAAACTGCGGAGGAGGGGGGGGGGGGTTAGCAGACAAAAAGTGTCCTATTTTTAAACTAATTTTAGGTTGCATGGGCAATATGGGGCTCATTTTGAAAATCTTGTTATTTGTTTATAACAAGTCACTTGTTATAAACAAAAAACTATATCTCAAAACAAAAATTCAGTGAAAATTGGCCTTAAAATTAAAAAATATATATATTGGTAACCGATAAATAATAAAACTGTCATTGTAAGTCCTCCCGCTTTTTTTTATTATTTCCTCCTCCCATTTTATACATCCTGACTAAAATTCCCACCCCCACCTACCTTTGTATTAAGCACATTAGAGTAGTCAGTAGCAAAATCCCCCCCCCCTGCACAATTTTCAAAATGAGCCCCATATCGCCCATGCAACCTAAAATTAGTTTAAAAATAGGACACTTTTTGTCTGCTAACCCCCCCCCCCCCCCCTCCTCTGCAGTTTTGCCACTGAGAGTAGTACTGACATTTACTTAAAACTAAAAACAGAGGTGTTCAATTTAATAAATTTTAGTTATAAAGAAGTATATTTAGAAATATATTTTTTTGTCTTTACTTTTATTACGATTTAATTGATTAAATAATAAAACAAAATTTAAGGTTTTAGCCTTTCCCCCCCCCCCTCCTTCCCTTTTAACATAGATTTCTCCTAAGAAGTAAATTACCAGTGTTTTCATTGGTTGATTTTAAAGTGAACGCGCGTTTTTTCCGGACCGTTTGTAAGATGTTTAGAAATGCTAAACTGTTTATAAAAATATGTATTCGTAAAAGTTGCTGAGGTTTTTAACATTGTTTAAATATCCATTGTACTTTTTTTTAGATGCATTACTACTTTAATTAAAGTTTGGAATTACTTAACTAAATCATTTTTATTTATAATATCTTGATTATGTGTTGTTTGATCAAACAATAAACTATAAATGTAACTTAAAAGAGTGTTATAAAAGTAACAACACTGTAGTGTTATTACTTTTGTAGTCATAAATTTATTGTTTTGTTTTTTATAACATTTTCACTAACAAATTAAAGTTTATTCGCCTATTCCGTAAATTTCGTGGTTTTCCATAAACTGAAACTTTGAAGACCAGATAATTTAGCAGATATCGCAAATCGCGATGCGTTAATTCAACCCTTGTAGATTGTATTTTGAAGGACAAAAGATTTACTTTAAAAACTTTTAAATCTTGGGACTTTGCCTATACTTTGCCGATGCGATGATCACAAAAAAAGAGGACTTACATTATTAAAATCAAATGTAAGTTATGTGATCTTCATCAAAATAAAATATTATCCAAAAACAATGGTGCCGTAAGGGCAGCTGCCAAACGGTTTATAAATAACACAAGTCATGTTAGAATATTTTAACATGTTACTATATTTTAATTAAGTTGATATATAATTAAAAATAAAAATATAGTTCAATAAATAAATTAAATTTGTTCTTAACAAGGATTAACTCATATTTATTCTTTTTTTATTTTATTAAGTTAAATTGCTTACAAACGAAAAAAAAAAAAGAGTTTTGTAATTATACGTAGAATGAAAATACTTTTGAGTTTGTTTATAAGTTAAGGAACTTAATTTTTAATAATCAAATTTTTAGGAACATTTATTTAATTATTATATATACTTAAATTATTTTAGTTGAGTATTTTTAGGCGTAACGCTTTAAAACAAGGCCTTATATATATATGCATATCTAAACATCATTATGATCAACATGATCATTATCATTATCATCATCATATTATTATCATCATCATCTTCATTATTGTCATCACCACCATCATCAACATTATCATCATCATCATCATCATCATCATCATCATCATCATCATCATCATCATCATCATTGTCATTATCATCACATCATCATCATCATCATCATCATCATCATTGTTGTCATCATCATTAGCAGCAGCAGGCTTTAGCCTTCCTCTTTTATACTGTTTGTCTAATCATGGTCAATGCTCAAACAAGCTATCATCTCTATTACAATAAACCAAAACTCATTCTTGCTTGGCTTCTTATTCAACAAGTTGTATCTTTTTACTGTATCTGTCTCTATTTGTTAAATACTGACATAAATAGTAAATTTGATGCTTCAACATTTTATAAAAAAACTTACGCAGGTTTACTGACTAATTTTACCAGCTTCACTAATATTAATTATAAACTAATTATTTTACCAGCTTCACTAATATTAATTATAAACTAATTATTTTACCAGCTTCACTAATATTAATTATAAACTAATTATTTTACCACTTCTTATATATATTATATATAAGAAGTGTATGTTCTTATATATATTATATATAAGAGTTTAAAATATCTTATATATATATTATATATAAGATATTTTAAACTCATTAAAACTCTGATTAACAAGGCCTTCAAAATCAACAACAGTTGGGTAAGTTTTCATCTAGATATTGTAAAAATTAAACAAACTCTCCAAAAAAAACTCTTTTCCCTTGAACTTAATTGACAAAACCTTAAAAATTTTACTAAACAACCTTATCTCTCCTAAAGAAAACATGTAATTTTTAAAACCATCTGATATGCATTACTTTAAACTCCCTTACATTGGAAAAATTTCAAATACACTTCAACATCAATTAAGTAAATATATTAAAAATATTGTAAAGATAATATTAAAACAAGACTAGCTTTTACTCCTTTTAAAATAAGTGTTATGTTTTTATCAAAAGACCCCTTACCTTCAAATTTAAAATCCTTTGTTGTCTATAAATTTGTTTGTTCCAGTTGTAATGCTGGATACATTGGTAAAACCACCAGACACTACACAACAAGGATTTCAGAACACTTAAATTCAGATAAGGCTTCATGTTTACAAACATCTCAATTCATCACAATAATTCATCACAAAAGTTCAACAAATCCTGATTGTTTTTCCATTATTGACAGAGCCACCTCAAAGTATGAGCTCAAAATTAAGGAAGGTATCCATATTGGATAAACCTCTTCTTAATACACAATTAAAATTATACACCATCAGGATGTTACCCAGGAAAAAATTTCATACAGCGTTTTTGCAAAATTGGGAAAAAAAAAGGTTCTTACATTCTGCAATTAAATTTTAATCAAAATAAATTTTCTATTTTTGCTGGGAGTTACATTTATCGCAGGAATATTTTTCTACTTTATATATGTTTAATTTTAATTAATCAACTTGTTTCATTATGACCAATCTTCTAAAGTTTTTATTTAAATCGCTTCTTTTCTTTGTTTTTGATATACTGCAGCCGTTTTTCAAAACGCCTTAATTGCATATTTTGAGAAAAGCGCAATTAAAAAAAAAATTAAAAAAAAAAAAAAAGAAAAATCTGAACTCGAAAATAAGTGACGTCAATAAAAATTAAAAAAAAAAGTTTTTTTTAAACTTTTGGATGAATGATCTTGTTAAGGTTAAGACGCTTGTTAATGACGACACGTTTTTACACATTAAAAAAATCGATCAATTTAATTCATTTTTTCGTCATGTATACTAATTTTTACTAGTCTAGCGCGACACTTTAAATCTGAGACTGACTTGATTTTTTTTTTTTTACTATGATCTTATAAACCTCTAAGAATTTTAAACCAATTGGGAATACCGCGTTGTACGCGGTGCCATCAGGCTGGATAACACCCTGACCATTACTATAACAATATAATTTCTCAAAAAAATTGTTTATATACAGAAATTATAACTAATTTTTATACCCGATGATGTCTATTGATATTGATGAAACATGTTGTCAAAAAGTTTTGAAAAAATTGTTATTTATTTGAAAAGTATAACATTATAATGTATAAAGAAATTAAATTAAATTTTAAAAATTTTTTCTAGCCCCGGCTATCAACCCCTGCTAAATCTTATAATTTTTCTAGGGCTGGATTTGCAAAGTCTCATTTTTAGCCAGGGCCGGGGCCAGGTCACTTACTAATCCAATTAGGATCCACTTGTTACTGGTAACATGTAATACAGTACAACCTGCCACATGTATTGATGCGTTGTAGGACTCTAGGCGAATTAATTTTCTTGGCAAAGACCAGAAGTTAACTCTGACTTAAAAGACTCACCCCCCCCCCTTCCCTTTATTATATAGTTCTTGGCTGGGTACAGGCTAGATAGTGTCTTAATTAAAATATCTTTATTAGATATTAACAGCAACTGACTGCTGTCTTGCAGAAGGCTGTCACTAGAAACATCACTTCTTTTATTTTTTTTTACAAGAATAATTATTTCTTTTAACTTTTTTATTATAATGATCATTTCTATTATATTTTTTACTAGAACGTGTCTCTTAGAAACAAATGCTTTTTTATCCTTTAAAGAAATTGATGCAAAAAGTATCATTTGACTGTCTGATGTTAAGATCTATTCTTAGATTACTATACCTTGTTAATCCTATAAACTTAGTTCTAGAGACTTAGAAAAACCTTTAACAATGTCATTAACAAAGGAAAGTTGATATTTTATCATTTATACATGTGTCTGATCTTACAAACTCTTGCAATTACAAAGCAGAACTACTTGCATAAAACTTTTTTTCTAGTTTAGCTTTTGAATCTAATGGTATAGATACATTTCCTGTCTTCTTGTTGGTGTTTCTCATTTAAACTACTGTGCAGCTTGTGGTTTGGATGAAATTCCTTAAAAAAGTACTTTCTAAAACTTTTCTTGTTGTTTTTTATCTATTTATCTATATAAATGATCTTCCTGGCAATCTTATCTCTATTTGCTGATGATATGGCTTATTCTTTATTTACTGATGACATGATTATGTGCTCTGACTGTCGCTTTTAAGAATATTTATTGCAATATTGTTTCTATTAGCAACTTCTGCTTTACTTCTCAGATTATCTATTTTGACATTTGCCTTTCCAAAGCTGATGGGGCCACTACAGTTGAGGAGTTTACTTTTTTTATTATTATTACAACCTCATAACTCTAAAACATTGCTGTTTAGAGAAACAATTTAACCTTGATACTACAAGGAATGTAGTGTTAATTGAAGTAGAAACTTTTCGCTTACAAAGCGAGCCCTTTACTACTAAACTACTACTGCACACTGTGTTTGTGTACTGCACACTATTGGTTTGTGTAGAGTGCACAATTTTTGCTGCTTAACTGAACTTTCATTTCTTAGCCCAAAATTTAATTTTATATGATTCGTTATGCAACAGTTGCATATGTTTTACTGTGTTGTCTTTTATGCTCAAAAAACTTTACAGTTTTTTAAGTTTTATATGAGCCATTTTTTTTTTTTTTTTTTTTTTTTTTTTTTTTTTTTTGCTTTTTAACTCTATCCTGTATTTTCTGTTAAATTTAAATTTATTACAGTATTTAGTTACAAATTATTTTTGCATTTAATGTTTTATCATTATATATTTAATAGGTGTTTTGTTTTATTGTATAAGTTATATTTTTAACAGGTATGGGAAGGAAAAGCTGTTGTTTCACAAGGTAGACAAATGTTAGGAGAAACAGATCCCCTTAAATCTAAGCCAGGATCTATTCGAGGTGATTTTTCCATTGATCTTGGTCGCAATATTATTCATGGCAGTGATTCTGTTGAATCAGCTGAGCAGGAAATAGCTTTGTGGTTTACAAAAGATGAAATTGTTAATTACACTCTGCCTTCTCACTCCCAAGTTTTTGAGAGAGTTTTCTAAATGTTTTGTTTCTTAATATAACGAAAGAAATATAATTGTTTTTGTTTTTTATTAAATTTTGTAAACATTTTTATTTTTGAAATAAAATTCTAAATAAAGTGCTTTTATTTTTATTTTGTGGGTTTTTTTGCTTGATTTATATTATTTATTTATATTATGTATATATATATATATATATATATATATATATATATATATATATATATATATATATATATATATATATATACATCTTAACTATCGTATATCTTAAATATATATATATATATATATATATATATATATATATATATATATATATATATATATATATATATATCTTAGTTATTGTAGTTTAAAATTGTTTTTGATTTTTATTAGAGGAACATTTTTGTTTCTGCAATATTGAAGTTGGTAAAAGATTTGTAATATTACAGTGTTGTGTGTTGATAAATATTCTTAATAGTTTTGATATAATTTTGAGTATTCACAAGGTCTAAAATGTAAATTTTTTTTACAGAGTTTACAATGTATATTTTGATTTTTGAGTTATGGCTTTCTTAAAATAATTTTTTATAGGTATTCTAGAATGACATTTTCAAATCCTTCAACTTCAAATCCATCTCTTCTTCTGCCTTTTGAGTTAATAGATAAATGTATTGGTTCTAAAATACACATCATTATGAAAACAGATCGAGAAATTGTGGGCACATTTCTTGGTTTTGATGATTTTGTAAATGTTGTCTTGGAAGATGTTACAGAGTTTGAAAACACACCCGAGGGACGTAGAATTACAAAACTTGATCAAATATTATTAAATGGGAACAACATTACCATGTTAGTACCTGGTGGACAAGGTCCTGAAATTTAAAACATAAATCCATGAACAGATCTATTAGAACTTATAGTTTCTATTTTCTAAAATTTTCACTTTAAATTAAGTGAATCAAGACTGATAAACATTGTGTTCTAGAATAAATAAATAATTTTTTATGCGGGACAGTTTGAAAATACATGTTTAAATTAATAACTGATTGTTTTTATTTTAATTATTGTTTATGTTTTTACTTGTACTGTATTTATTGAAAAAGTTATTTTTTGCAAGTCTTATTAAATTTTTTAATCAAAACATAATTATTCTCTCCGTTCCAAAATACTGTTCTGATTTGCATTCTACGTAAAGATTTATTGAAAATTAAATTGATGTTATTTTTTTTATTTTATACATAAACTTTATTTTTTTGAATGTTTTAAACATTTAATACTTTATTAATATTAAATGTTCAAAAAAATAATTTTATGTTAAAAATACAAAAATAACAGCATAATTATTTTTCGATAATTCTTTACTTTAAATTTTTTTTTCCTTTTGACATTATGGTTTTGTTTGTTTTAGAAACTATGAGTGGATCTGATTTTAGGTCTTTTTTAACATTCCATCAATCAAAGGTTGGGAAAAAAGGTTTTGTTTTTATTTTTTAATTTTTCTTTGAGTTTTCTTTTAAAAACATTTTGGTCTTTTTGTACCAAGAAGGTTATATATGGACAGGTAAAATCTTTTTTTAGATACACGCTTGTTAATACATGAGGGTAAAAAAGTTCTTTATTCTCCTGTTGATTATGAAAAATTAAATGCTATTACAAAAATTAAGCATTCAGTTGGAAAAAAAAACTTGCTTAGGATAAATGAGATAAATGTAAATAACAATCAAAATAAAGAGCGTTTTGTCTTACAAGAACATCGGAGAATCTGTGAACTTGAATTGCGCAATCTTGCAAGTAAATTCAAAGTTTTACTTGATGAATTAGAAGCATTCCAATCATGCAATAGTAGTATCAATAGTATATTTTCAGATAAAGATATCAATGATTACAAAGTCTTATTGAAACATGATTTTGAGCATTTTAAACAATTAACACTTGTTCCTGTCAATAACCTTCGTGCTGATATTAAAGAATGGTTAAATGAAAATAAAGGAGTTTGTCATAAAGAAAAAACTTTGGCTATTTGTAATGAAATTGCGTCAGTTAAAAATCAGCATAATGTTCTTATTGAACAACTTCAACAAGAAAAGTCTTCTTTAGAACTAGAGTTGAGCAAATTAAACAAATTTTTTATTTGTCTATCTAATGATTTTGCTAAAATGTCATGCCCGGATGAACTTGTTAAGATGTCATGTCCTGATGAAAGTTTAAAGAATTCATTTTTATCCACCTTTCAAAGACTTAATGAAAAATATGTACAAAATATTAATGATTTAAAAATTCGCTTTAATAAAATTGACAGGTAAATTTTTTTTAAGTTTAATTGAGACAATTGCAAAATTTCTAATAAAGATGTTATACATTTTATTTTAAGTGATCCTTTAGGTGGTTGGAGTAAGAATGACAACTTTGTTTTCACAACCGTTGTCAAGCAATATTCTAAAATCACACTAAACAGAAGAAAGTTATACATGGATAGACTGCGAAGAGAGATGCCTCATTTTAATAATTCTCAATTGGTTAGGATGTTAGGCTTTTGTAAATAAATTTATTTTCAATTACTTAAGGTTCTAAGAAATTATCAATAAATAAAATTGATTTTTCATACTAAAAACAAAAGATATATGGATAAACTGAATAAATTACATATGATAAGCAACTGGACTCCAGTTATTACTCTTAATACTCAACAATCTGTGAATTTAAGTAAGACTGAAGTATAATTTCTTTTTTCACTCCCAAGTCTTTAAAAAAACACATTTTCAAAGATTAAAAAAATTAAAATAAAACTAATCAAATAAAATTATTAATTTATTTACAATTATGTTACAATTATCTGTTACAATATCTGTTACAATCATCTACTATTTAACTCTAAACCACAAACTTGACAAACAAAAGTTTAGATCTTCCCCTTGAGTGGTACATATTTAATTTATGAGTATTTTTTCTCCCAAAAAAAAAACCATAAATTAAATTTTATATATTTTAATGATTCTGAAGTCATAGTTTATAGTTCCGAAAGGATTTTAAAAATGCTGCTCTACATCTGGAACTTTACGACATGTTTCTAAAAAAAGTACATAAAGATCATAATTATGTAGTTTATAAGAAAAACGTTTTTTTTAATTAATTCAATTACTATTCTGAAATTAAGTCAATCACAGAGAGAAACTTATGTACTGAATACAAGAGGTTTAATTAAAAGAAAGTATTTTTTATTTTTTTGAAAATTTACTAAAAAAGCATTGGTTGCTGAATTTTGCATCTTTATTTACCTATCTTTATTAAATGTTCTTTACTTTCTTTTGGTTTTATTTTTTTCTTTAACAAGTTAATTTTGAGTTACATTTAAATTAAATTTTAGTTTTTATTAATATTATCAAGTATTTATCAAATTAATAAACCATTATAATCAAATTTGTTGTAAAAACTACAAATGTTGTTGCAATTTTGAAATTTGAATGAGTTATATATTTAGTTATAGTTATAATATTGAAGTTAAATTACTTTGAAATCAACATTAATAGTAACAATATATACTAATTCATAATAATATATTTTAAACAAAAACAGATATGAAACCCTCCGGTTTAAAATGGTTGTAAAATAAGTGATTCAATAAAGATAATCTTTTTAGAAATTCTTTTATTATCAGCTCAAGTAGGTAACAACCAAAGGACAGACAGCATGTTTCAATTTGAGTTATTATTAATTTAAATCTTTTTAATGTTTCATAATTTTTTTAGATTTCTTATGAAAAATGGTGGTTAAATGACAAACTATTTAAAACCCAACTTCAAGATATTTTTTGCTCATGGGAACGTGACAGAAATGATCTCATATTTCAAGTAAAGCATTTGATCAAAGAAGCACAATTTAAATATGAAGAGAATGAAGAAATTATTTCAAGGAACATGGAGCAGAAGTTTATATGCAAGAATCTTCATGAAAAGGTAAGATAATAAACCTTAATTTTAATAATAACTTCTTATCTCTTATGTCTTTATCTCAATAGTGATGCTTTGTTTTAATAGTGAATCTTCATTTCACTGGTAACTTGTAATAAGTTACCCAAACCCTTAGTCAATAAAATACCACTCTCTTGCATTTTCCATGTATGAACTGAAGTACTCACGCCTATGTATTTCAGTATGATTTCATACTGAAATACATAAGCGGTATTTCAATATGCAATTTAATTCAAAAAATGGTATTAGGTGGCCAATTTATTTGAATATGCAAATAAATTGGCCACCTAATACTATTTTTTAAATTAACTTATCTAATGAACCAAGGTAGTTATGCCCTTTCTTAGTTATTGTCTTTTTTAGTTATAACCTATTATTTTATATATATACATCTATTTTATATACCTTACTCTATACTCTATATATTACTATATAACTCTTCATTTTCATAGTGTTCTTCATTTTCATAGTGTTCTTCATTTTCATAGTGTTCTTCATTTTCATAGTGTTCTTTATTTTCGAAGTGTTCTTCATTTTCATATTGTTCTTCATTTTCATAGTGTTCTTCATTTTCATAGTGTTCTTCATTTTCATAGTGTTCTTCATTTTCAAAGTGTTCTTCATTTTCATAGTGTTCTTCATTTTCATAGTGTTCTTTAATGCTTGGCACAACAAAATTGTTAAAGTAAGTTCTAGTATATATTACAGGAGCTTCAGAAAAGAATAGTTCAAATGAATCCTCTTGATGACTGCCCTAAACTGTAATTTCTTTTAGATTGAGAGACGATCAACAATAATATGTGAATTTTTAGGTTTCCAGTAAGTACAATAATGGCGAGTAATGAATCCATTCAATCTTTTTTGAAAAGTCTACATTATTCACACATTTTTTTAATACTTCTCACAATGCTGTATTTATGCAATGTCTACTAATCATTGTCAAGACTAATCATACAATGTCATGAACTAATCTTGAAGTATAACTTTTCCAATGATTATACTGCATAATGTAATGTGATGATAGTTTTAAAATTGCAACCTCACAGCAAGCTTGTTTTATAGACTTTAAGCTTTTGAAAAGTCTTAGTAGCTTGTGTTGAAAGTTCTTTTTGAATTTGATTCCTAAATTGTCTCTGTACTTTAGCTGCATTTTACACTTCCAGCAATATAAATTAGAATAAATTAGATATTCTTTGAATAAATTTTCTTTTTTCTTAGTTTAGTCTTGGCTAGATCATTTAGTTGCTTAGGGGTCGTAAAATAAACCCAAATAGTTTTATTTATTGTCTGTTTTCAAGTATTTGAAATCCAGTCAAAATGTAGTGAAAATAAAATAGTAAATAGATGCGATATAATTATAATAAAAATAATAAACACCAAGTATATAATTATTTAAACAAAATAATTTCATGATGATGGCCAATATGTCAAAATTAAATTTGAAATGCTTTTTTTTTTAATTCCAACAAAAAAAGAAGCCATCCAACTACTAACATAACTACAGTCCAATCTTTCAATTTGATAATCTCTACATTTTGAGTCAATTTTTCAGATTCTAGAGTAAGATTCTCCCTACAAATCAAACTTTTATGACTTCTGTAAAAGTAATTTGTAAAATGCTTAAACTGTCAAACTGTTTTTTTTCCAAATGTTTTTAGTTTGATAAGCATGATGACCATGAGTTGTTTCCTTCTATTTAAAAAACAAATAGGTTGTAACCTAAGAAATTGCTCAAAGAAAACCATTTAAAGATTTCACATGAAGCTCTACGGAATTAAAGAAAGAAAAATTAATATAAAGGTTACAATAATCTTTGATCTTCCACCATCTTTCAAAATGTAGAAAAAAAACTAGATTAATATACCTTTGATTTTTTTTGGAAATGAAAAATGGTTGGAAATGGGTGAAAGTAAATACGCATTATAAAGTCACCAAAGCTGTTTTGAAATGGTTCAAACAGGTGAGAGCTAAATATGTCCCATTAAGTACTTTACTGATCAAATAAAAGGCTTTATTTTTTGTGAAGGAGCTAAATTTCAAATATTTTTAAGCTTTGTATAGCTAGAAAAGATTTTTAAAAAGTTACTAATTTTATTTCTAATTCTTTTAATTAATGGTTTACAATATTTGATTATTTTACACCTTTTTTTTTTTTTTGTTATTATTATTGTTATTATTATTTTGTAGGTAAATCTTTTAAAACCATTTCTGTAAGGGCTAAGTCAGTAAATAAACAAATCATCGCTTTATGGCTTAAGACATTGCTTACAATTCTCACTTTGCTTACAATTCTCACAATTCTCTTACAATACCCATTTGAAAATATTTTTAACGTTGACAAATTTGGTCTTTACCTACCAATGTTTGAAAATTTAGTATTTTCAATTAAAAAATGAATAATGTAAATGATGCTCTTTTAATATTTCAAAGGTAAAAAAAATAGAAAAGTATTAGGTAAAATTATTCAAGGATTGAGTCAAAGAAATTGACCAAAAGTTTAGTGTTAGTAGATCTATCTTAGAAATACAACCTCAATCACCCAACCTACAAAAGCATAGAACTCCGTTCCAAGCAAAATTTTTATTAATTTTTTGTTTCAATTTTTTAAAGAAATCAAAACCAAAAGCAAAAGCAGATGAAAAGTTAATAAAATAAATAAATGATTATAATTTTTTCTTTACCTTAGAAATTTAAAAGAAAAGGAATTCAATAAAGAGTGGATTGATGACCTTCCGATGCTACAAAGTATTTAAACAAAGCAGCATATGCTATCACTGTACTCAAAAACAACAATTGAATTTCTTTAGTGGTTAAAAATTATTATGGCGTTTAATGAGCTGATACCGCTGGTATCTATAACTTAGCAAACTTTTATAAAATTAAAAATGAGAGAAAGTGTATTTTCTATAAAAGAAAAAGATTTAGATAAATTTAAATTAATTAAACAAAATAAAAACCTAACTGCTTACCTACTTGTAGTTTTTTTTTTTTTTTTTTTTTTTTTTTTGTAGTTCTCAGTAGTTGTACTCACTTTGTAACAAATAACAATAACTTAATAATTTTTATTTGTTACAAAGTGAGTAATTGTTATTAAAATATTATTATTTTAGATTTGATATTAAACTGATTTCTTTATACTAGCTTCGTAAATATCAAGATGAAATGGAAGAGATTTTTTTGCTTGAGGAAAAACAAAGAGCTTTAGTTGAAGAAAAAGAACGCAAAAGATTAGAAAAGCTTAAAAATTTAGAAAATAAAAGGAAGGAACAGTTAAAAATACAGGTTTTTTAAAATTATCTTTATTTGTGTCTGGGCTAAAGTCATATGCTCAATTTTACCTCTTCATTAAGGACACACACCCCTTCAAATCCATTAAGTATCAATACCCTACTTCCCTTCCCTCTACCTCTTTTGCACATACACATACACACACTGTATTTTTAACCCTATTCTTAGTATACACTAAGCCAACAGTAAAAAAAATTTAAAAAAACTGCAAAGGTTTTTTATTTTAAAATTTAATTTTACATTTATAATAAACTTATAACATAATGGCTTTAACATTTTTTCTTTGGTTATTGATTTTTAAAAAACATTTTGGTTCTTCCATGACACAAAAAATACATTTTGAAGGTGATCTTCTCTTGTGGCGTTAATAAAGTCTTCTATTAACTTTATGTTTTCATTGACCACTGTAAAAATTCTAAGAATATTGATGAAATTTTGATAAGGAACATTAGTAGACCGATCTTTATCACTTACCCAACTTTCAATGTCTTTCTTACAAACATCTAAATCTTTAAAAATCAAATATCTTTTTCTAGATATTTGCGGAATTGCAAATTTTTTTTTTCAACTTTTGGTTTTTCCGGATATCCAAAACATTTTCAATACATGCAAGTTGAGGTATATATTTTTGTAATATATTTGTTTTTTAAGTTTTTTCACTCATCACTCAGAGAAAAATTATGAAAAGTGTAAAAAAAATTAGAAACAACTTAGCTAAAAGCAAAATTAAAAAAAAAGATAAGGGATAACATATTTCGAACTTTAAAATATGACTAGGATGATCTATGCTAGTTCAACTAGTTCTATGATTTCAGAAATAAAGACAGCTTTTGGTTTTCAAGAATCAAACTCCTCTGGTCAGATCAAGATTTTTTTCTGTTCAGTAGATTCTCTACTGAACAGAAAAAAATCATTCTCTAAAGCCAGTGCTACTAAATGAGGAGTTAAATACCAGGTATGTGTTCCAAACCTCTTAAGTAAAGCTCACCCCATTTGTCATTAATCTTCCCTATAGCATAAGAAATTTTTATAGCACATTTCATTCATGGAGCATTTACACTAACAGTACTTTTTAGGAACCAAGATAAATAACAGATAGCAATAAAAGTGCTGGCTTCCTTTATTTTAAGCTTTCTTTGTTTAATCATAGTATTATGACTTTCTTGTGTTGTGTAAATGGTTAAAATATATCTTGTATCTGCAAGTAATCTTGCCTCGTGACATGTCCCTGGTTGATCAAGTCTTAAGTCTGCAATATTTGCACCTAGAAAAAATCTAGACTCTAAAGCTAAAATTCAAAGATTCTTCGGCAATATCATATAGAATAAAACCAGCCTTAAACCTTCAAGTCATCCAATCAGATTTGGAGGTATTTACTTTCTTATAAATCTATATTCTTATTAAACTTATTGAATTATTATTATTCCAATAAGATGTAAACATGTTGTGACTGATCAAATCCACTCACAAGATGA